AAGATTGAGCGCGTGGGATATATAAATAAAAAATCATAAATTTAGAATAGTAATTTGAATAACCCCACCTTTTTGAAAGCACTCTGGATATGAGACAACTTTCATAATGCTAAGTTGTTGTCAAATTTTATGAGCTGTCAAAATAGCATATTGTCGAGAAAGTTTATATAATATTTATTTATTTATTTATATAAATTTATAGTTAAAAATAATATACGGGTAAATATAGTGCGAATAGAATGATAATAAAAATGTTCTTTATAAAAATCAACATAAAGTAAATATGACATCGAAATTAATGAAAATTGTCAATTGATATTTAAACCGATTATTAAATTCATATAAATATGGACTTAGCAAAATCATTATTTAATCATCGAGATCGACTTGGCTATATAGGCAAAGAAGATCACAAGGTTAGTTCTTTAATTATTTGTTCTATTTTTATATGCTCAATTTGGTATATTTAATAAACCATTAAATTTACAGAGAACGATACAAAATACTTCATTTGAATTTGATGAAAAAGAAGATGATCATACAGAAGAGCTGTGCTCGCCAGTGGTTGGGGGACCATTTTCAGCTCTTACACCAACTATGTGGCCTAAGGACTTATTGCTAGAAGAATCGGACAGTAATGTATGTGTTTTTTTTTTTATTTACAGTTACATTTAGTGATAATTAAAACAAATTTAATATCTCACATATATACTGATTCATTAATATTTATTATTTTAGAGTACAGATATCACTGATAAAAATAACTATGATGAGTTTGGTTTTCAATATGATGAAAAGTATCATAAAAATGATATGGCAAATATATTTAAAGAAAAATTTATAGAAGATTCACAGCATAAGTAAGTTATTATGTTGTTAATTCATATTCTGTCAATTATGCAAATATTTGTTTACAATATTTCTGGTTGAACAGATTACAATGGATGGCTCATCTACAATTTTGTGATAAGTCTGAAACATGTGATTCAACATATAAGATTATAAAATCACCTGAGACACAAAATTTAGTTTATTCTGGGATACCTCATTCTCTAAGACCAACTGTTTGGATGCAAATATCAGGTGCTTATATGTAACTTTGGTGCATGCTTACAGATAAATGCACTCACACATTACTTGCTTATATGAATTTTATAACTATTAAAGCAAGAATATTTGTCAGTTATCATATAAATTATTACTATTATTTATTTAATATTGTACTTTTTTATTATATAATATAATAGTCATTATTTAACTTATTTATAATAGTGTAAGTATATTTCATGTTCTTTAAATATTAGTTATATTCAAATCATTTCTAGGTGCTGAAAAGAAAAAGAATGAAGAAGACTTGAGTTATCAAGAAATTATTCATGAATCTAGTGGTGACAATTTATCAGAAACTTTGTTGATTGAACGAGATTTGTTACGTGTTATGCCAGGAAATGCCTGCTTCATGCATTTAAACAGCCCCGGAGTTCCTAGGTTGCGAAGGCTGCTTAGATGTCTTGCCTGGTTATATCCCGAAGTTGGGTGGGTTTGAGTATTAAAAATTTTAATTAGAGTTTTTATTTTGTATAAAGATGTTATCAAGCTATTGATCATTGCTTTATGAACAATGTTTTAAATAAGAATTTATCAACTCTAAATGTATTTAATATTAACAATGGATGCTCTATTTGCCATCAAACATAAATTTCCATGTTTTAATTTTGCATATTTTAATTTATAATTTAAAAAATGGTCATTATTTATTTTGAATTTTAATAGCCATAATTTACTCAATTGAAAAATATTATTATATTTATTTCCTTTTAGAGTACATGTTGAAATATAACTTTACGTATATAAGCATTGAAACATTTTTATTATAAAATATTCCATTTTAAAATTTAAACTAAATTAGAACAAATATATTTAGGTATTGCTCAGGTTTGGCAACAATTGCAGCATCACTTCTTTGTTTTGTGAGGAAGAAGATGCATTTTGGCTAGTTTGCACTATTATAGAAAATATACTTCCTGCGTCTTACTATTCTAGTTCTCTCATAGGTAAATTTATTATTATTATTATTGTAATAAAATATTATAATTAATACTTTTGTTGAAGGGGTTCAAACTGACCAACGTGTGTTAATATCACTGTTCACTTTGATATTACCCGATTTGGACAATGCTCTTCGTAAGCATGATTTGGAACTACCACTAATTACCCAAAACTGGTATACTCATATTAGTGCACTTTTTTATATAAAAAGAAGTAGACTAAGAAATGATTAATATTTTAATAGGTTTCTAACATTGTTTGCTTCTGTGGTACATACAAGAGTATTATTGCGAATATGGGATTGCTTCTTTCTAGATGGATCTATTATTTTGTTTAAAATAACATTGGGTATGTTAAAAATCAATGAACAAAGTCTACAACAGTTACAAAATTCTGCAGAAATTTTTAATTCTTTATCAGACATTCCAAGCCAATTGCAGGACATTGAAAGTTTATTGAAGGTGATCATTTGAAAAATAAAACTCATATAAAATCAAAAAATTAATTATAAAATAATAAATTTATGACATGTTGATATTAGCATAATTTTAACAACGTTTTTTCATGTTTCAGGTATCTTTTGATATAACGAACTCATTAACAAATGCAGCTATAGAAGCACATAGGAGGCGGCACTTGGCTTACTTAGTAGCAGAACAGGGACTTGTATCTAATCCTAAATTGCACTTAACAAAGTAAGTCATATGATACTTGAGCTTCATTAGAATCTTGCAAATCTAATGATCCTTTAAATGTGATGCTTATCACTGAGAT